CTGCAGACGCATCTAGTTAAAAGTCCCTTTTCCAACTAGTAATCTAGATGGCAACTAGTCGTGTATCGCCCGATTACAGACGAAATGTATCTAGATTTTTCCCATAGGTGATATTTGCTTGGGTGGTTATTATGAACTCTTATACTGTTGCAGCGCTTTCTGTCATTACTCAGCACATATAAAGTGTGTCGACATCGCAACTTGTACAATTGTATTCTAGTTCTTATATATGTTTTTACTTAGTTCTGAGGATGAATCGCTAGATTAGAAAGCTTAGTTTTTACACGTTAATAATAATAATAATAAAATGAAAAATAAGTTTAGCCGTAATTAGTGCAAGACAAACGTTCAAGAGCATGAGTACGATGAGAGTGAGCCACCACTCAAACGACACAAAGTAGGTTTCTTTTGTTCAAAATGTCAATCCTAATATTTTACTAACAACTGAAAGTTTTATCAGAATCTTTGAATTCTACACTATCCGCAATTTCGTAGGTGGACGTGGTGTTCAGATTTATCGTGACTCCGTTCTGACGTCTCAGACGTCACTATCGAGTTCAACTCCACCTAGCCCAAGTGCAAACGCTGTTCAAAGTTGGTCCGATGATGCACAATACATTTCATCTTCGACTACAAGTGAAACGGTTTGGATAATCGGTTTTCTTTTTGTACCAAAAACTGCAACATTTACATTTACTTTACAAACGAATGGAAGTAGCGCTCTATTTTTAAGTACAAATGACACACGAGCAAATCAGGTATGTCCTGCATCTTCTATAGTTTACCAGTCCATCAGTTGATGCTGAATGTATGCATCTGATCTAGGTTAAAATAGCTGATTCTAGTAGTCTTGAGTCAAGTGCGATTATATTACAAAACAATACTAAGTGAGTTAAAGCATTTCAGTATCATTGGTATTAGATTGAACACTTCTTTTCAGCTATTACTTCCAAGCTATTGGTTCACGTTCAGGAGGTGGACTTCAGTTATCAGTTCAAGCACGAATGCATGAAACACTCTTAACCGGAACAACATCAAGTCTAGTTCAAAATGAAATACAAAATATTAATGTTTCAGCAAGTGTTACACCTGCACATCAGGTTAGACTACAGAAACATTTGAGAATTCATACATAGTAGGAGCATTTTAGAAGGTGGGGTTATGCTTTTGCAAAAACACTCATTATAGAAGTAAATTGTTCCAACACAAAATCTTTTTCTGCAGCCTACGTAGCAATAGCACCAGATATAGGACTTTTAGCAGTTTAATGATCACAATGAACAGTAGCTTGAGATATAATTTGAGGATTGAAGGATGCAAGAAATTCATTTTGTTCAGATCGGCTGATTTAAGCTCTTCTATCAACTTGAACTTTGAATATTATTTCATGTGTAGAAAATAATCTTGCAGAAATTAATATATAGGTAAGTTCAAAAAGCCACAAGCTTGTAAAAAAAGTACCACTTGTATGGAAAAAAGAAGACAACATCCGTTGAAGGGGTGTAAAGAAAAAAATACCAAATTACTGTCTTAGAAGTGAACATGGTCAAAATAGTAAGACAGATATAATAAAGAATAACGATGATAATGCGGTAGATTCAAAGATTACTCAACCGTGTAGGTGCACTGATAGTGCTCTTTTGGAAGAAGTTACTGTTCTTGCGGTTACTACTTACTCTGGGAGAGAGTTCCAATCGATTGCTGTTCGATAAAAAAAGAAGAGGCTGCGCGTTCTTTGGAAACGGTCGAAGTTTCAACCTGCATAGCATTCTGTTGATCGACATTAAGCTGATCTGATCTCCGATCAGTTCTCGATTTTATAGAAGGAGTGAAAGTGGAGAGAGGAGAGATGACATTTTTTACTTTAATAAAATGCAACAGCCTGAAATATTTCCTTCATATCTTTAAATGTGGCAGTTTTAGTTTATTAACCAGAAACGTTGCAGATCCATCGAATTTCTTAAAAATCGTTCGTGTCATTAATCTGATGATTTTTTCGAGCTCGCCTTCATATCATTTACTATCATAGGCAATGCTACTCTATTTAATAGTTTACCTAAAATACCCGATTTAAAAATCGCTAGTCGGATTCTCACTGATGCTTCTCTAAAAGTTCGAAACGTTTCTCGCAGACGCCTTTTGCGTGCAAGAGTTAAACCTGCAACATGCTCTACCCATGATAAATTTGAGCTTAGCCGAACTCCCAGAAGCACCACTAACGTTTCTCACTTAATCAATGTTCATTGATGATAAAACTATGAACTGCTACTAATTCCTAGTGATATCCACGCACACTTTGAGTAGTTTAATGTCATGAGATTTAATTGGCACTATCCCTCTATTTCGTCTATAAGAGACTGATAGACTACTGGAGAACGCGGAACGCTCATTGGACATAACAACGAGCAAGTTGTCGGCAAAAAGAATCGATAGAGCTGGTAACGCTGTTACCATCACAAGATCATTGACAAAGATCAGAAACAGTAACAGCCCCAAAAGAATCCTATGAAACTCCAGACAGAACCCTCGCTGTCTCTGAAAACGCTCCAACTATCCAAACCCTTTGCTTACGATCTGACCGATAACTCTCCAACCATTCATATGGTGCTCTCTCCGACGAAGGAACTTTCATCCGACGAAGGAAGTTTCGCGAGCAGAATTTGGTGAGGAACACGATCGAACGCTTTCTCAAAATCAAATAGTACCATTATGAAAACGGTTTCATTTTCTAACTTTTTCTAAATGTTTTGAGTTAA